AAACCTTTTTTGAGAGTTTATAATTCTCTGAAATCTTTTTTCGGTGAAGTATGACAGCGAAAGAAATGTGGCTCACCTCATATAGAAGAAACTAGCTGATCACACTACAGTTCTTATTTTGTCATCATCCAACCTACTTTCGGCCATTCTACTATCAACACGGTAATCTTTCAAGGTCTACATGAGCGTACTATACTTGTAATCTTTCAAAGCTTATCTGAGCATAATACCCAGTTTTCCAAGATCTACCTGAATATGGTAGAATCATAAAAAGGAGCGAACATATACGCGATACAAAAAGTGGCTCACCTGACAGAAAAATGACCCAACCAATTTCGAGTCTTTAATTTCTTATAAGTTGAAACATTCTGCATGAATATCCGAGCTATCGTAACACAATGAATCAAGTAGATTGTGCTTCAATTTTAACTATTTTCTATCCACCTTTTAATGACAATGTCCAAATGTGTATGATGCGAAAAGTCTAATCAGATTGAAAATGAGTCATATCTCCTATGACACCTCGTTGGCATCTTCATTCTATATCCTTGAGGATTTGACAAAGATCCTGGAAGGATTTCTTGTATTTTGGTTACAGGAAGTAAGCAAAACATGCAGGCATTTTCTGAAAACACAACCTATACTCATTTCTACATTCTATCTCCTGAAAAATTTGTTTTCTGTTTGTATTGCTACACTTTTTTTGCCGGAAAAAAATTGTTCACCATCATAATTATATTCTCCTTGCTGGAGGAATTTTTTTGTATTCATTTTTGCCTTCTCCTTCCAGGAAAAAAACTTACTCATTCCCGGAAAAACTTGTCTATCATCATTCATGCATTCTAGCTTCTGAAAAAAATGTTTTTTGTTTGTGTTATTACAATTTTTTCTCAGAAAAAACTTATTTATTCCCGTCCTCACAGACTCTTTCCGGGAAAAGAAACTTGTTTTATCATTTCTGCAATCTCATAGATAGACGTATTTTTCTTGCTCTCATTCCTATGCGCTCCTTCCTGAAAAAAACTTATTTCTTTTTACTCCAGTCTATTATCGTTCTTACATTCTCAATATTGGAAAGAATATTTTTTGCTGCGATTGTTACATTTTCTTTTTCAGAAAAAAATATTGTCTTTGTCGTACAAATAGAAGAAAATTATTTCACAAGTCAGTAGTAACTAGTAAGTGTGACGTTATTTGTTTGTCTTCCAGCGGATAGATGTGAAGATCGAAGATGAATTCGAAAACTTATCGATTCAGTACAGTTTTCAGCTAGTCGCGATAATAATGTTTAGGTAAACAGTCTCATCTTCATATACCTTAACGTCAGTGTAAAAGAAATAATCTACTTCACCACGTTAAGTACCTTTCAGAGTTCAGGCTTTAGTGCAAGAAAGAGGGTGAAGACAATAGTCTCTTGACCACATCTCGTAACGTAACGGTGAAAGGAATACTTTCATAATCATAATAAATAATCACAACTAAAACTTTTCAGACTATGATATTGGTTTCAAATCCTGATAATCATACTAAAACTTTGCAAATGTGATCAATAGAATAGTCGAATACTTTGGCTGTTAAAGTCTACGTTGAGTGCAAAGGTAACAGAAAGGTTGAAAAGATGAACACTTGAATACTTCGTTAAATATGTGAAAAGTGAAATGCGCAAACAGTTGAATCAGTGAATGATTGAGTGCCATGCAGATGCTTTTAACCGCTATACTATACACGAAGTATTCTTTCACCTTCCTCTCACGCACTTTATTTTTCTCACTCATTAAGTCTTGATTATGTCTGTCATCAACAAAAGACTTATTCTTTAAAACCTGTCCGGCATGATATTTATTTAGCAAAATTAAGAACTAGCTTAATATAGAATGTAATAAGACTTTGTCGCACTAACTCTAGCAGCTATGATCAACTTCTCTGCAATGGATAAAACACAGATGAAAGTATGCAAAAAGTTGCATAGTATTCGAGACAATTCTCTTTTACTGTTCGATTTAGCTAAGACTAAAACATAAGACTACACTAAATCCACGTGCAAATAATATTTGTTGTATGCTGGAGGAGACATACATAGCAAGAATCCGGCATATTAGAATAATCATATACAGGGTATGGGTGTAGATTCGTCATTTGTTTACCTTCACCCACACTCTAAAAACGTTGTCTACTGCAGGCCCGTAGCCAGGGGGGTGTGTGACTGGGGTGACCGGTCACCCCCTTTGGCGAAAAAATCTTGAAGGGGGTACGGATGAAAATTTTATTCACGAAGCAAAAAATTATTTTCCTACTGCTGTGCACCCCCTTGAAAAATCCCTGGCTACGGGCCTGGTCTACTGCATGTACGCAGTAAATCAAGAATTCATTTTCAACAATTTGTTTTTGTATTTGTGTTTACTTATGCTGCAGAATAAGAAAGAATGAAATAATAAAAAACAAGGACGAGTGCTTTTGTAAATTCACTGTTACGATTATTTAGAAAGAAAAACGAAACGAGAGTAAATTCATTGGCAAGCATCATCGAGAAGTAATAGCAACGCATTTTTCATATTACATACGCGCTTATGTATGATGAGTAAAGTGAGCGACTTTTATTTAGCTTGCCGCAATGGCGATATAAATAAGGTTGAGCAACTTTTGCCCACATTGAGCTCCGATGAAATTAATCGACTCGAACCAAATGATAGCACAGCTCTGCATGCCGCTTCATATTACGGTCACTCACAAATTATACTTCGTATGCTGAAACGAGGCGATATTTTATTTTCTATTCGCAACAAATATGATAAAACTCCCTATGAAGAAGCTGGAACGCCTGAAATCGCGCAGTTGCTAACTCGTCCACCAACTAATGCTCAAGATCGTTTTGTTGACAATGCATCCGCACCAGTTTGGATATTTAGAAGTAACCACGCTAATTTTATCGCACAAATGAATTACAATGAGACGATCACACAAACTCTTGATCATACGATTGACGCTCTTGGCTATATTGACGGAAAAGTGAAAAAAGAACATATTAATCTGATCAAATATTTTCTTGAAGAATTGAAGCGTACGCGTGATGTCACGTATTTATTGCGTCTATATACTGCCGAAACCGATTTTTATCGACTACTAAACGAAGCAATTGCCACGAAGCTGAATGCCATGAGTCGCGTCATAGTTGTAGAATCGCATTGGGCCATGTGCTTTGCAGGTGTTGTTTGTCGAGATACTGCACTCGACCATCTCAGATGGGCAGGAGATGAAACAACAAACGTTACCTATCGGGGAATGCATATTACAGAAAGCGATCTGTCTCAGTATGAAGTAGATGAAAAGATCATGAATCGATCATTTCTTTCGACATCAAAAGATCGGAGTATTGCTGAAGATTTTCTTAAAATTCCTACGGCTGGTAACAAGCTTCCCGTTCTTTGCATTTATACAATAATTGATAAACGTGCCGCACTCGACGTACATTCAGTATCCGAGTTTCCGCATGAACAAGAAATTCTCATTGTTCCTTGGATGGCTTTCGTAGTAAAACGAAAAGAGATGAAAAATCCAATAGAAATCCATCTAGAACAATTACCTATGGAATAAAATACATAATAAGTTAGTTTGAATTGTGTACTATTAATAACATAAATCGTATATTATGTAATAAATTCGAAATATAAATTATTTACATATCCTTAAAGCTACTATTTAAAATAGTAGACGGTACCAGTGTGGATGTGGGTGTGGGCGCTAGGTGAATGCAGTATCCATATCTACATCCACATCCTCCAGATGGTAACGTCTAGGGATGTATAGAATATAAATATCAATTTTTTTTATATGAGCTGTTATACAATATGTCTTATAGATAATTTCATGCATCAACACTTCATATTTGTTATGATCCATGTTCATTTTCTCGATTCAGAACAAAGGTAGAGTTCTATAATAGTACTTATAGTCTTCAGTACATAAAGTAGAAATATTTTTTAATTGAAAAAACCGTAAAAATGTAGTTATTAACAATTAGAAAAATTTGATAAATTGCAAGACGTCACTCACTGATAGACTGATACAAAGACAACATAAGAGCTTTTAGTAATCTCACATCTTTTACATTTGAGACTGAGACAGAATTCGCCAACAATGAATTGAGCATCATGATGGAGTTTATCTTACGTGTCAACGTTATCTTTTATTTTTTTTTTCGAAATGTGAATAAACAAAATAAGAAATAGATTTGCAACATCATTTAATATCTATAGTATGTTGCTTTGCTAAATATATGACTTTCGTTGATATTACTCGACTGTCATCATCACAAATGGATTTCCAGCTTACTAGTAACTACACAATAATCCATAATTTAATAATAAAATAGCGTGGTAATGAGTTGTATTGATCTTTATTTGTATGCATATATAAAGCAAGAAAAATAAACTTACAACGAACATGAAAATAAGAATTACGATATTTCAGTTTCTTTCTCTAGGACCAACTGTTTGTACTGTTGTTGCTTGATTAACACGATTTGTTCGTTGCAGATGAATTATCTCCAAAAAATCTGTTCGAAATTTTTCAGAAAAAAATCCATATACTAAAGACAAGAAATGCACAATATCTTATCCAATGAAAAAATTCATTTTTTTGATAAAACATACCGTAGAATTGAGTACAACAATAAGTATAGGTTAATAAAGGTTGAATAATAAAGTTAATAAATGTTTCAATAGCCACTCGTAATGGAGTTTTATCTGATGTAATTGGAGCTGTTATAAAGTTATATAATACACTGAATGGAAATGGACATGTTGATAAACAAAAAACCAATACTTCACCAAATAACATTTTGATCAAGTCATGATCACGTTTATGTATATGAATACCACGAGTTCTGTCACCATCAATAGGTTGTACACGTGATCGAATCATTCTTAAATTATGTCGAGCAAGAACACTAAATAAAATCATTAACGATGGAGGAAGAATTCCGATGAACGCAAGAGTATAACTTGTATAAGCTAAATTATATGATGGATTAACAGCACAGCGACCTGAACTATTGTTGAAAAAGAAGAGCAAAGCAATATTCACTAGCATTGAACCTATGATAATAAAACAAATGACACGAAGGGCAGTTTTTGGTTGAGAAAATGATCGAATCTTAATATTCTGTGAACAAAGTGCCCATCGATCAACACATGCAGCGATCACTAAAATGAAAATATTTTAAATCAATCATATTGAAATCGGGAGTGACTCCTTCAAATAACTTACTGAAGCATCGTGATGCCATAAACAAAGTATATCCTCCATACCATCGTAATTTACATAAAATATTTGATAAATGTATAGGTTCAGTATGATCCAGACCATAAAAGTATGAAACAAGCACAGTATCAATGACGAACCAATTCGCAAGTGATCCACAAAGTAAATAAAGTGCACATGAATTCGCTCGTTGCTTTACTGTGCGTATCAATATCCATGTTGTAAATAAATTACCAAAATTACCAAGCCCAAGAAATATCGGTATAACACAATGACCTAATTGTAATCGAATATTATTTAATGTTGCTACCGACATGGACAAGTAATTCTTATGGCTTGTTGAAGACTGAATGAACGTTACTTTGAAATTAAAATAATCAGTAATAACGTATATGCAAACTTCTAGAATACTTCTCGGCATTTTTCTTGTCATACATGACAGATATTCAAAGTGACAGTTTATTAATCTTCTTATATCTCAAATTTTCTAATGTACCATTATTTTGATTTAATTTTTAATCCTCAAAGTAAAGCTTTACAATTACAATTTTAAGAGAAGATCAGCGAAATCATCGTGCATATCAATTGTTGAAATTTTTTTAATAAAAACTCAAGTTTTATAATTTTTCGACGATATCATTGGAAGTCTCGTCAGTCGTTATGGCTTTGTTTAAACGAACCAGCATGTCAAAACTCATAGACTTCAATTTTTTTTTATTTATAAAAGTTTTGATGACAAAATAAACGTTACATATAAGCTTTATAGTGACAAAAGGAGCATCTTTTGTACGGGAAAGACTGAGAGGATGTGGGTATAAATTCCAGATTGTTACCACTTTTATTTTCTCTTATCGAAGGCGAATATAGAAATTCCAGTCAATGTTTGAAAATAATCTGATGAACGTAATTCTTCTAATCCAAAGATTATTATACCTGGATTAGTTCTCAGTTGTTAAACAAATGATTCTCTTCTTTTCCCTACTCTTGAATGTTTACTCGAAGAAAAACGTATTGCAGTAAAGTGTGGGATAAGGTCAGTTTCAACTCCCACACCCTCGAGATCCTTGAATAAATACATGATTATTTACAAAAGAAGCAATAAAAATAGATATTATTTAAAAATGCTTTCATGTTTGATTTGGTTCGCACTGTACAAAATAGTTTATTTATCTCATCTTAACAATTAGCAGTTAATGGATATCTAGATCACCAATACTATACAATGATTATTGAAAATGTAATAATAACAAAGGAACCTCTGTTCAGTCAATTTTAAGTAATTATTAATGTATAATATCGCATAATTTACACGATTTTATTATATATTATCAAAATTAATTAAGTATAATGACACGTCACCTATAAATGTGAGCAGGATTTTTTCCTTCTACTTGTTGAAGTCATGTATGTTTCGCAATACACGTGAAAGAATGTTATTCGGAAGTGAGTCATATAAAATGTATGGTTCTTTTTCCCCACCAAAGATAATAGAAAGAATGAGTGTTATTAATGCGTTCTTTGAAAAACATGACTCACATCAAACAAGAAAAAAAGTCGGTATTTTTTTTCTTTCTATACTTGTATATAAAGCAGTATGTAACGATAGAATTGTCTTCATTATCAAGATATAATCGCGTCTACACTACTACTTGTTCTCTCCGATAAATGCTGCGTATCAAATCTGTCTCACCTTCACAAAAGGAACAATATGTGGCATTAAAATCAGTTTCGGTTGATTCAAAGATTCGTTCGTTTGGTGCTGACGTCAGTATTACACAACTATTTAAAAATGACGAAAATCAACCGATTGAAGCTGTGTATTGTTTTCCAATTGAAGAAAATGCTGCTATTTATTCATTTACGGCAAAAATCGATGATCGAGAAATTTGTGCTCAATTGAAAGAAAAGATTCAAGCACAACAAGAATATACACAAGCTTTGCAACAAGGACATGGTGCTTATCTTATGGAACAAGATGAAAAATCACAGGATATATTCATCATCAATGTCGGAGCTCTTCTACCGGGAAAAGAATGTCGAATTGAAATTAAATATGTTACTGAATTAATTCTTGTTAATGGCAATAAAACTCGTTTTGTTATTCCAACAACAATAGCACCAAGATACAATTCATCAGTCGGTAGTATTTCATCTCCTGCTGGTACACAAGCAAAATACGTTCAATCGGCATCGTATACAATTGATTTTCGATGTCAAATCTATAAACTCAATGAACAAATAACTGGTGTTTCATCATCTTCACATCCGATTACAATACAATTTACTGAAAATACATATGATATTACATTTGGTCAAAACAATACATTTATGGATCGAGATATTATTGTAGATATTGACCTTTCAACACGAATAAATACAATTTTAGCTGTTGAAAAGAATGGTGAAAATCAACTGGCCTTAATGGCATCATTTACTCCGACGAGTGAAGATTGTCAGAAAGTATTGAATACTAACAAGGAAATCAATGATGTGAATAATGAATTTATTTTTATCGTCGACTGTAGTGGCTCGATGGAAGACGAAAATAAAATTGGTTTGGCTCGTCAAGCTATGATTTTGTTTCTCAAAAGTTTACCAGTCAATTGTCAGTTTAATATTATCCGTTTTGGATCTGACTATAGAACATTGTTTAATCAAGTGACTGATAAATATAATGAACAAAATGCAAAACAAGCCGAACAATTAATTTCACAACTGTCAGCTGATCTAGGTGGAACAGAATTGTTAAAACCACTACAATGGTTACAAAACCAACCACCTACTGCTAATCATTCGCGACAGATATTATTGTTGACCGATGGAGAAATATCTAATGTAACTCAAGTGATGGATCTATGTCGATCAATGTCAACATCATCAAGAATCTTTTCGTTTGGTCTTGGTCACTCACCATCAAGATCATTAATTAAAGGTCTCGCTCGGTCAACCAACGGTCGATTTACCTTTATTCCTCCAGGAACAAACGTCGATATTTATGTTGCTGAACAACTTCAGAAAGCTCTCGAACCGTGTATTACGAATGTCAAAGTTAAATGGAATATCCCATCATTAATATCGTCTAAACTTCAATCTGTTCCAACAGTTGCTCCTCCGGTTTATGCAAATGATCGTCTTTTATTTTATGCACTAATCGATAGTGATCAATTCGATCATTCAACAACTGTTGAAATCTGGAATCATGAAGAAACAGTTCGATTGGGATTAGCTAAAATTGATCGTGTTCCTGAGACGATGAACAACGATAATCAATTAATAACACATTTAGCTGCTAAGGCTCTTATTCAAGAAATCACACATGCAAAAGATCTCCATGCAGGGTCTCAACAAACAAGATTTCAACAAGTTAAAGAAGATGATAACAAAAAACGGTTAATTGATATTTCATTAAAGTATAATATTCTCTGTCCGCACACAGCTTTTATTGGAATTGAAACACGTACCGATCCATCAGCCAAAAATACTAATTCTAATATGGTACTGCGAGAAATTCCCATTGAAATATCAGCGGATGACAAAGTCATGAACACAGTATCCTCCGGATTCGGTCCTTCTTCTAACTCACTCCTCAGTTCTATTGCAACTTTTCATTCTCAGCCACCAAATATGTGCCACGCTCTACCTAAATCATTATCGCGTCCGCCACATTGTATGTTCCCGGTACATCTCAGCTCTTATCAGCCCCAATGTTACTCAATGGCATCAGTCCCACAACAACAACAACAACAACAACAACAACAACAACAACAACAACAAC